TTACCATCTCCGGGTCCTTGCATATGTTTTTGGCTTTAAGTTAATTTTTTATTGCTGATAGCCACTTCTAGAAATTTTCATGGCACACTGCATGATAATGTTGAGAATGCACAGAAAGATTGGGAACCTGAAATTAAACTATCAGAGGGTAATGGTGATGCTTGTTCTGATATGAGGAAACCTCAAGCTGTTACCTGGAATATTAATTAGCATGTTCTAGATTAGTTTTTCAAAAACCTTTGTTATCAAATTAATTTATAAAAAATTAGCATGTGATCTAATTACATCAGTTCTGTTTTTTTAGTATTCTTATTATTAAATTAGTCTTAAGAGAAAAACTTAAAACATAACACAATTTATATAATTAAATGACTAAAACAGTAATAAACTAACATTTAAAGCACCACACTAAACGGTAAACATTTGTTTTAAAAAATTCAATGTCGAAGATTTCCTGTCGGATATATATATATATATATATATATATATATATATGCAGCATATATAGATTCTTTTGATGTTTTTTAAATTTCGCTGTCAAGGAATCTATGCAAGTGTCCGCAGACACATTATGTAAGATAGTATTAATTATTTTATGAAACTTGTGAACGAATGTCTTAAGTTTAATATATGTAAGTGTTTTCGGACACAACATATAAATTTAAGCATAATTAGGAAATCAATAAATAATGTTTTATTAAAAAATTAAATTAAAATACATTAAAAAATTGCAGAAATAAGTATATTTACATGACTTTTGATAAAAAAAAGTTCATTTTTAATTCCTTAATCAATGTTTAATCAACTATATTTATTAGTGTTTTTTAATTTTTTAATAAAACCTTTTAAAGCATCTTCAACAAGACAATTTATAATAAAGGTGAATCCTTAGCAGTTATTTTTAGTTTTTTTAAATATTTTTTTAATTTATCAAAACAATTTATTTTAATGATTTTTTAATTAAATAAGTATGTGAATAAATTGTATGTCCAAATATACGTCAAAACATGGAAGAAGCAGCACAGCATCTTGGCGCATAGGTAAGATTGCTTATTCTAAAAAAATAGAGAAAATTCTATTTGCATAAAAATAATTCAATAAAATCTATATAGAAACAAATGGTTATTAATTTCGACACAAGAAATTTGAGTCTTAATTTGCTTATATTCTATTGAATCTAATAACTATGAGTTTAATAAAATTATTAATTTTGAATGCTCAAATCTGATTAATTGTGCATAAAGTTAAAAAAAAAATGAAAGAGTTTTAAATCCTTACTCAATTTTATTTATTTTTTGGTTAGAAAAATCATACTCATCTCTATTTTAATTTATACTATAGATAATCCTCTTAGTAATGGTAAGCAATATTAATTAATGAGTCTCTTCCAAAATTATTTTCATTTACTTTGCAACTTTCAATGACATTACCTACTAATATTGAATACTCATATCTGATTAATTGGTCATAAATTTAAAAAATGAAACAAAGTTCTAAATCTTATATCATATTTTTAGTCATGAAGTTAATCATAGGATTTCAAAACTAACTACCAATTAATAGCCTGTTTGTCTACACCTCCCAACGAATTTTGCAAGATGCCTGAAATCATGAATAAAATAATAAGTTTTTATTATTTAATGTCATAATTAAATAAGAATTCATTAACATTAATAATAATTTTTTATTTCTAAGAATAAAAGTGATACAATAGATAAAGAGTATAATAAAAAGTTAAGTAATGTTTTTTTATTAAAATTAGAATACTAAACTTTTTTAAATTTGTACAAGACTTTGAATTAGAAAGAAAAAAGACAAAGAAAGTAAAAAGTTAACAAAGTGAATCTTCTGCAAAATTACTGAAATAAAATTGTATTGACATGGCTAGCTTGCTCCTTAATGATTTTGAACTTTTTCCTTTCAAAAATTGATTAAGCATGTCATTCATTCAGCAATATGCCTAACTATTGTCTGCGTCGGCAGGTTTTTCCTCCTTCCAAGGAAGAAAACTTTATTGTTAAGATACAAATCTACTTATAATAATTTTTAATAGAATATTGTTCCATTTTTATTAAGATTGAATTTAAATGAATTTCTTTAATATTATGATTAAGTGAGAATCGTAAAACTCAAAATGGCCTTCTATAATTTTAGAATAAAAAACTTTGTAGAGAAAATTATATCTAACAATACTTACAACATGGTCTCTTAATACAATTACTTAAAATATCAATGTCGAAAATCAAATCTTTCAAAAGTTTAGTTGTTAGATTGCGGTGCATGAAGTGATCGACCGTTTTGACCTTTTGTTAGATTAGACCTGAACGATGACCCATTCTTGCTGGTGCATAAAATTTGAAATAAATATCAACCTAGAAAGTTGAAACATGTGAGAATGCATGGGCATCAATTTTACACGTCATGCACACCCACATCAATCCACAAAAACACTCGTGATTAACATAGTACATGGATATCAAAATCTTGATTTGAGAGAAAAAGCACCAGAGAAGAATGGTAAAAATAAATGGAACATTATAGCACGAGCCAAGTTTGAAAATTGAAGATGATGATCAATTTGAAAATGAGGGGCCCCTGATGCATTATGGGGGCGTTGTCCCCTTTGTGGCCTTTATGAACACCTTCAACCATTCCATGTTTGCTTTATCAGAAAGAGATTTTGCTTTCACGCTTTTCTTAGTGCTCCTAAAAAGCCTGAGGTCGCATACCATCGTACCATACCACACCATAACCTTAACATTGATTAACACAGTACCATAATTTATTTTTGGATGGGTTTGTGGATAAAAGTTTTCTCAAAAACTATACAAAGATAATTAATTTTTTACTTCTATAAATATTTATTGAAAATTTTATTCAAACATAATCATAGTTTTGCCACAGAAAATTTGTTAACCATATATAATTGTTTTTTCATGACGTGTATGGCTAAAAATTCATAGAATTAGTTTTATACGACTTTCATACAATCAACCAGATTCAATTGTATACAAAATAATTAATTTATGTTTTAAATTATTATTGAAAAATAAATTTACATTAAAAATAAAATTATAAAAGAACGACATAAATTTCAAAGTTTTAACATAAAAATTATATTATTTTTCATTTTAACTTTTATATGTTTTTAATTTATGAAAATGTGATTAAATATAATATTATACTTTTAATATTAATTTTAATTCTTATCAAATTCATTTTTTTGTCCTTATTCCATAATTGTATACTATGCATATAAACATGTTTAAGTGAACAACCATTTTAAGGTGGCATTTACGTGACATGTGACATCACTTGTCTAAACATACATCACTTAATCAATAAACGGTAATAAAGACAATTTTTAAAATCTTTTACATTTAAAAACTCAAAAATTAAGAATTAAAATGAAATTTAATAGGAAAATGAATGTTGTTATTTTATTTTGATGAATACATTTTTAAAATGTTTGATATAAAATATTTTCTATAGTGGAACATAATTATTAATGTAAAATCACGTCGTGATTTTTAAAAGTGAGTTTAGAAACATATCACGTTTGGATCTGTGCGGGAACACTTTCCAAAGCTTGAAGTTGAAATGTATTAATGTAGTAGTCTCTACACTGCACATTTCCTGCTTTCGGTGGTTTGTTTGGTTTGGAATATGTTATGAAGGGTATGAGATATATAGATATGTGAGCAATGCCATGTGAACTTCATTTTGAATGGGGTTGGCAGAGTGTTCGGTGGACCACATGATTAGGTTATGCAATATCTCCCTGAATATGCCTCCAATTTTATGTTTAGGGTAACATGCCCATTAACAAATTCAATGAAAAAATAATAAATAATGCATTCTATGATTTATATTAGGGTTTTTATTTTTATATAATATGTATAAAACATGAGATTTTTTAAAAAATTATGGAAACATGAAACCCAAAAATTGTTATTAGTGATTTTCAGTATAGATGTAGAAATTCAAAAATTATTAAAAAAAATTCTGATGACATTATTGTATTGTCTTGGCTCTAGGTTGTTGGGCTCCTTTTCATGTTGTTGGGCTACCAAATCATCATCCTAACCCTCACTTCCTTTATGAATTTGTTGTAGTTAAGGGCCAGAGCCTAAAATAAACCCATGGGTTTGGGGTCTAATTAGTCAGGGATCAAATTGGAGCCTGTGGGCTTTAACCTACATTGATAGCTCTAATGGGCTCCAATCATGGACAAAGTGAGATCTAGGTATATCTCTTTCGTGGATGCATTGCCCTTAACTTGATTTTATCTAATCTTCTTGTTTACTACTTTCTCTTTTAAGATTTCAAGAATGGTGATGAAGAAAGAAGCCTACAAGATTACAAAGAAGCTTCTTATGAGGTGGACAAAAGGTAAGAAAGTTGCGTGGGTGAATTGGAAGCATGTTTCTCAATTAAAGGAAAAAGGTAACGTAATGGACTTGGAGTTGTTCAACTTGACTTTATTGGGAAAATGGAGGTAGAGAATTTTGATAGGAGAAAATGTATTATGAAAAGATGTTTGTCTATGTAGATTCAAATAACATGTATCCCTTCTACATTTTTCCAAATGAAAAATCACATAGTAAGAAAAAACAAATTAAATAACTTATTCAAAAAATGCCTCCGCTTCCTAGAAAGAGATATTTTCTTACTGATGTATTGTTTTTTATTTGTAAGATGTGAAGAGCCACACACGTTTCATTTGTCTTTACCACTAATCTAACTCCTTAAAGTTACATGCATAACTGTACATAATTAATCTTTCAATAAAAAATAATTTTGCATCTTCATGTCATTACCCACAACAAATGTAGCCCTAAGTGCAAGAAACCACAACATAAATTGCCAAGAATAGCCCATAATTAACATAAGTTCAACAAATAACCAAACTCAATTAGTATTTGCAATTTGAAACCATTTGATGTAATTATTATCATCTTTGTACATACAATAACTCGTGCACAAAATATACACTCCATCTAACTCACAATTTCAACAGGTTTGTAACCTTTCTCAATAGATTCCTTCACAGCATCCAACACTAATTGAGTCTTTCTACTCAAAACAGGCCAAGCCTTTTCGGGCTTCATTTCACATTGCTTAACCCTTTGAACCAAATCAGCAAACTCCTTAACCATCCAAACATCTTGAGAAAACTCAGTTTCCACAACATGCTCATTAGGCTTTGGACACCACCTTCCAGGTTCAATTTTCCCATAATCCAACTCTGAGGCCTCTAAAAAAGTGCCATACCCAAAATTTTCTTCAAATGGAAGAGTAAAATCGTTGAGGCGAAGACACCCTTTTGAGCCCAAAACTGTTACATCAAAGGTTATGTAAGTTAAGAAAGAACAATGAAAGGTGGCAGATTTTCCATCTTCCCAATGCATGGAAGAGCCACATGATACTATTACACCTTCGTCATTGAGAATGGCTCCAGGAAATGCAAGCACTGATTTTGGAAGTTCATAATCCACAGCCCATAAAATGGCTCGAATGCAGTACCAACCAGTGTCACCTAGTGCACCAAGACCATCTAAATCTGGCTTTGCTCTAATGCTATTTTTGAGAAACTCAGGACCAGGGTTGTATGTGAGGCAAGTATGTATCTGATGAAGAACACACACGAAAGACATAATCTTTGTAAGATGTTTAAAATTGTATGAAAATTGTAAAAAGATCAAGTTAGATGAGATTTTAAGTAGCACATGAAAAGATGATATTATATGTCTTATAAGTTGAAGACATTTGTAATGAATGATTGATTAGTGATAATAATTTATAATATTTTGAAAGAGATACTTAAATCTGTACTGTGAAACAGAGAAAATTTTAGTAAATATCAATTGTTTTTAGATGGAAGGAAAGAAACCATTTTAAATGTAACAATAATATAATAACAAATCACTCGTTTTTTTTATTTTAAATTAAGCAATTAATTCAACAAATATTTTTCAAAATAATATAATAAAATCTTATAAATGTTTTAAATTATTATACCGGTTCAAATAAAATATTGGTCGTTAATTTTATATTTTTGACCAATTTTTATTACTTTTTTTAGTTGACTAATTTTAAGAACTATTTGGATTGCTCACCTAGTTGACTTTCAATTCAGTTAGTCATACTAACTGATTGACTTTAGAAAAAGGGCTACAAATTTTCTCCATTTAAAGAGCCATATTTTAAAAATAAAATGAGAATAAATTCAAAAATATTAAGTTAAAGGACTGTAATACTTTTTTTTACTGAAACTTTATCAAATATTTATTTAATCATTTATTTTTAATAAATATTTAAAGTATAAGTAGTAGTTAGTAAATATTTCATAAATAAATAAAATATTTTAAATATTAAGTAAATAAAAGATAGTCATTTATTGGGCTACATTCAGTTCAATTCTGACCCAATATGCTAAACTAACAAGGCCCATTCTTTTCACAGTTCCATTTTTTTTTTATTTACACTTCTTCTGACTCTTTTTGGTTACTTCAAATGTTAAGTTTTGAAGGAGGTTTATAAATTATTTTTGAAATCAAATTTTTAGGAGAGTTCCTAGAATTAAATTTCTAAAAAAAGAGAAAGTGGGGTGTAAGAAGAATTTCCAACACATGAGAACGTTCACACGTTGTGGACAGAATAAAAAAGGGGACATTCACACATTTTTAAGAAAAGAATTGCCCATAAAAGAGTCTTAAAAAATGAAAAAGAAATTTTGGATATTAGGCCCACACATGTTTCTATCGCAACAAAAGTTCCACTGCTCTAGATCCTGTCTCTATTCCCTCGTCACAGAATTCCAACAGGGACTACAATCGATGAGCAACGACATGCGTGGCCTTGAGCACCAAGGTAGGTTAATTAGTTTAATTTGTTATTTGAACTTAAAGCTTCTAGTTTGTGACAATGAGACTCAAATTTCAAAACATTTAACATTATATAGAACTATGTTATGGGATGTAAGTAAACCACCAAAAACAAAACAACAAAAAAGGGAATTTACTTAGAATAGTACAAAACTATTATCACCAATGCAAAGAAACAGTGTAACAGTGAACTATTATCATGAACTATCACCAATGCCTCGTTTTCTAGCTTTTAACTCAATTAGCTATTTCGTTTATTTTAATTCCTGCAAAATCGTACAATTTTTTGGGTACTAAATAGCAAACTCAAAAATTGAATTCGATGTGATAGAAATGAAAAGGTTATATTGAATGTGTAGATATACTTATATATATTTTAGGTGTATCAGATAAAATAAGTAGATAAATTTATCAAAAGCTAAAAAGTTAGTTAAAAACTAAAAATTGATAAGTAGTTGGTTTAAATAAACATATTTAATAAAATTCTCTTAAACTAATTAATAAGTATAAAATATCAGAAAATGGCATCAAGGATATAATTATTAAGATAATAAAAACATAATAAATTAAGAGATTATATAATTTTAATTTGATTAAATAAATTTTTAAGTTAATTAAATAAATAAGAAACCATCTTAAAATAGGATTATAAATGAATGTATTAAAAAAATAATTAACGCAAAAAATAAAAAAAGGTAGAATTTCATCTATTAAACATTCAAAGAGAAGATAAACCTTGTAGAAGTCTTAATAAGGATAATAAATCAAATGGAATACAGTACTATTGCTAGTAGTAAAAGGAGATAAAACCTATACAATTTTTAACATACACGACCATAATCATGGTCTGTGTAATTTTGTTTATAAACACTTATATCAACAAAAGGGTTAAAATGTACATGATGGAACTATTTGAAAAAAATAATCCTCAGCTGAGTCTTTCAGGTGAATGAATCATGTATGTCATAGTAATATAAAAATTCCAGATAATTTCTTAACCATTAACAGATCAATAAGAATCCATACTATCTTAACAAAATTTTTATATTAATTATCCACGACATAAAAATACGGATAATTTATTGAGCCATAGAAAACCACTCCTTTCTCCCATAGTCGTTCCATTTTGAATGTTGTCAAACTTGGATACCAAGAAAAGGCTACATTATACTTTATTTAATCGAAAAATGAAAGTGTTGTCTCGTGTGAAATTAAACAAATTAATATAGTCGGCATTCTCATCGATCTACTAAAGCTTTATATCATGGTGTCTACTGTCTAGTAAAGTACTGGCAAACTTTTGACACCAAAAGACAATTTCAATCGTGTTCAGTTTTGTTCACAATAAACATTACAAAAATAAATAAATAAAGACTAGATTTATCTGTCTATGATTTCAAAACATCACAATTTAGCTTGGTGGGGGTTGGTATATATGTATAGTTGCTTTTCTCATATAATTAACTACACAAAAGACAAATACACACTCGTGTACAAAAGTTAAAATATAAAAAATATGCAAAATACACGAAAGAGAAACTGTTGAGACTTTTAGATGAAGATAAAAAAAAAAAATAATCAAGAAGCTTGATAGAGAAAATCATAAGATATATCGTTTTCCTTTTAAAAAAAATTAATGGTTATTTAAAATTGTCAAAATTAAAAAACCTCCCTAAGATATAGAATAAAGAATAGATATTAGAATTTTTTGTTAGCACAGTGGGCATATCAAGTGATCGATTGTATTGGAGTGGGTCATTTTGATAGAGAATCCAGATTTTCTGTTCAATAGTTTATTTTTTGTTTTAAACACAAGCGTGCTTTAATTGATTTAGTGATTTTCGTATTACTTAAAATATTTTTCATTTTAAAGACTAATATTAAATATAGAAAAGCTAAAGATATGCCTCATTAAAATTTTAGAAATTGAAAAAACAATACAAATTTATTATTTTTTTGGTTCAGATTACAAATTCCTTTTTACTTTTCAACAATACCATTGCAAACCTTTCCTCTCTTAGATACAAGTGAGACAATACTTTCTAAATTTTTATTTACTTTTTTATTTTCAGAACTAATTAAACTTTTGTCCCAGAAATAAAGCCAATTTATTTTTCCAGAAAAGGAGAGAAATGAAGCGGTGCAGCCAATTTCGATCTTCTTTGTGCAAATTTTCTTTGGCTCTTATTCCTCATTTTTATAACACACAAGCAAATCCGGTCCTGTATTAACTAATTCAATAAATTGCAAATTCAGTACCTTTCATCTAACTTGGCCACTTCACAAGACTTATGAAGAGACTTTAAAACACAACTAATTAAAAAAAAAAAGTTTTTTTAGTCTTACTAAGTGACAATATATACATGCATTAAATGCATATCTAGGGAAATTGGATTCAAACTATTCGACCAAAAAAAACACCTACAACATATGTATGATATGAAATATACCAGAATAAAAATGTTTATTAAAATATAATATTTAATATTATCAATATATCTTCTGTAATTTATTGATTGGATATTGTTAAGTACTGTTGGATAGTGTTAATAAGTTAATAAATAACTTTTTACTATAAATTATGATGAAAGTGTGTTAACAATTTTTTTTTTAAATAGCTTCTAATTTTAATTCTTTATGTAGTATTCTATGCGATGCATGTTAACATTTGGCTTAAATGTTTTTTTTTTTAAACAAATATTATGAGCAATAGCAATATAGAGATTGAATAACACATACCCATTTGAGTTGACCAAAACGTTGATCATCAGACAAAGCCTCCTTCATTTTAGCCGTTCGAGGGTGGTGCATCCACATGGTACCGTCCATGAACTGCACCTCATTTGCCTCACAAGCCTCAAGAATCCGATCAAGCTCCGCCACGTTCATCGCCACCGGCTTCTCCAGAAGCACGTGCTTCCGCCTCTCCGCTGCTCTAACCGCCCATGTCACGTGCAAACTCGTTGGAAGAGGGATGTAAACCGCATCCACATCATCATCATCCAAAACAGCTTCATAGCTCCCATAAACCCTAACCTCCTCCGGCAAGCCGTGCTCGGCCGCATACGCCGCCGCCTTCTCGAGGGACCGGCTTCCTATTGCTTGGAGTTTGGCGTTTGGTGCTTTGTTTATGGCTTTGCAAAGCTTGATGGAGATGTGAGCACAACCTAAAATGCCAAAACGCACTGTCGTTTCATGAGCCATCTTTGTGACCCTATGAGAATTGGAGGTGGTGATAACTACTAAGTGTTTTTGAGCATAGTGGTGAGGACTAGTTAACAAGTATTTATCCAGGGATGACCAAAAGAAGTTTGGTTGTATATGGTTTTAAAATGTCATTAATTTAGCATTATAATTGTAGGTGGTTGGATCCCAAGATGTTATTATATAGCAATTTGACCTAAGAAATTGTGGTACGTTTTTATTTTTATTTCCTTTTGATAGATATGTCACGTTTTGCTTTCAAAAGGATTTGCATGTCTTCAGGAGAAAAGGATTCGCATAGTTTATTTTATTTGTGTCTCACCTACTATATAGCTACTAGCTATTTCCTATAGAATTGAGCCCGCTGCTTTTAAAAAAGTGTTTAATATTTGTTATTATTTGGTTCATTAGTTGTCTTTTGCGGTTTATCACTCAAAATAAGAGCAATTATTGCAATAAATTAGCGATTCTGGATTTAGTGGAGATTAAGAAACTTAACCATAGTTGACTTTCAAATTGTTAAATTTTTCTCGAATTTTTTAAAGGCAAAAGTTTCTAGAAGGAATAATTTTTTCAGTTACAAGCAAAGTGGATGCATTAATTTGATTCTCAGCTTTTTTTTAATCTGTAGTTTATTTGTATTCTCATTAAGGTATATGTTAAATCATCATTTTTTTCTATTAAAAAGAAATCACTTTGTTTAAACTCACATGTACTTAGTTAAACAATTTTGGATTTCTCTATTTTAATTTCGACTAATTCTTAGATGAGCACAAACGTTACTTCTCATCCTTAGACACAACCAGTAAAATTTTTACATCTCATTTTAGAAAAATATTCAGAATGTAAAATTTGTATTATATTTTATTTTTTTAAAAAAAGAAGTGTTTTTAAAAAGGAAAATAAACATACTCTAATTTTCTCTCCTCCTTCCATCTATTCTATCATCCTTCTTGTTGATACATTCATTCCCCTGCTACTTTTCTTTCCAGCTTATTAATTCTTCTCTTCTCTGAATGTACATTTACCCAGATTCATCATAAATAATCACTAACAGTTAATACACTCTTCTTGACTCCTATGCTTCTTCCATGCTCCTCGGCCACTGACAAGTTGAGGAGCTCTCACACGCTCCTCTATTCTCAAGATTGCATCTGTTATCCCAGTTGTTTAATTACAAAAAGGATATAAAGCAGTGGATAACTATGAATTTTTTACGCGTTTACGATCATACCATAAAAAAATTACTAAATAATATTTAAAAAAGCATCAATATTTAAATTACCAATACAATAGTTTTTGTGATATTATATAATTTTCAATAAATTAAACTTACTACAAGGACATGTTCAAAAATAGTTGTTAAAAAAATGTAGTTGCTCTAAAGCTCCAACTAAAGAGGAAAAAAGATAAACACGTAGCTCCTTTTATTGTTTTAATTTTCAATTGGCCCTTTTTTTTTATTGAGTTGTAATTATTTACCTGGTTGTGTCTAAATATCAGTTGTTAGGTTTGTGCTCACCGAAGAAAAAAAAAGTAGAGACTTTAAATAATATTTCCTCCTTAAACGTTTCCAACTATTATATGAATTTAATAGAGTAGAAAATAAATTAAAGTAAATAATATTTTTGCTCTATGTGTAAAATACATAAGATTTTATTTATTAATTTATAACAATAAGATTGTTTAGTGAAAAGTATAGGAAATAAGTAAAAAAAACTCTGAAATTGGGAAAAAAAAGGTATTAACAGTAATTAATTATTTTGATTATGCGCCAATTATTTATTTCTGTTAATTATGATAATATATCACTGTCCAACTGGAGTTTGGAAATAAGGTCAAATATAGTTAGTGGAGACGAGATAATAACTTATTGGATTAAAAAGATGGCATGTTATATTTGGATCAAAGCCAGATCAAATTGTCAAGTCTTAAAGCATCAAACGCCCCCACTTATTTCTTTTACGAATTTAGAGCATATATTTTAACAAAACCATGTGAGAAAGAACTAATATGTGCATTAACTATGCAGAATTTCTTCATAATTATTACATATGCGTCTTAGTATATACAAGTAAATCTCATGAGAAAATTTGAAACTGTGGGACCTAAACCTGTATGAACAAGAAACTTGACGCGTTAATTTGAAGAACGAAAGATGATTGTCTTGTCAAATTCATATTGTAATTAACAGTGGAACTTTCACAAAACGAGAGATTCTCTGAAGAGGCTTTCTTCATGCTTAAACAAGCATGGCTAAATGTTACATAAAGCTAACCTAAGGGTCTATATGCTACTATTCTATAAAAAAGGAAAAAAATAGAGCATAAGGAGAATCGTTTAAAAAGATACTTGCTACACCTACTACATACAAAATAACAAGAGATTCAACATTTTTTTTTTCACACAGGGACATGAATGATAATACATTAAATGAAAATCTATAGCACAATTTTCCTCCTTCGTGCAGAAATATTGAGTCTTAATGCCTCTGGGAAGAAAAGTGAAGAAATGTACAGTACTAAAAATGTCTCGTTTACCCACGAATCTTAATTTAGTGACAAAAATTTCTATTTTCATTAAAGACAAAAGTATTGATAAATTTTAAGTCTAACTATACATGAACTAATTAAATCTATGTTACATATGATATCAACACAAAGTATTTTCCTTTAGGCACTTGGCAGCCCGAAGTGGAAGGCATGCATAAACACTTCACTCACAAATACCATTTTGGATAAAATCGTCCACATCATTGGTACAGTTCCCAGTCACAAAGTCAAGGTTGTATAGTAAAATTACCATTGCAATCGAAGATAAGAAAGGCAGCAAAGGCCCAAAGATCCAGAGTTGAAGGGAAAGTGCTGAAAAGAAAAGCCTATTCCCCACTATGTTCAATATTGTAGCCTTCTCTAAAAGCCCAGTTAAATATTCTGGGGTCACCATGGACTTTGCATCTTGTGGAGTGCAAATGAGGATATTCACTTGATTCAGAAACCTAACTGAAAGAGTGTGACATAGAAATGAGAATGATAATAAGGTAAGGAGGGTGGTATATTTGAGTGCCACCACAAATTCTCCATGTTCTCCAAAAACAGCGTCGTTAATTGGTTTTTTAACACTATAACTACTGCTTACTATTGCACCTACGCCAGCACAGAGTAGAATGGATGTTGTGGCCATAAGGGTTGACCCCATGATCACGTTTCTAAGAGATTGGACTGCTACGATGTTCTTCTTGTCAATATCCTGCAACAATTATGAAGTTCTTAATTGGTTACCATTATCATGCCCAAATAAAAGAAGCTTATTGATCTTATTCCAGCGTGACACTAGATAAAAAAATAATCACACGTTAGATTATTCTTCGTTAATATTATTTTATCAATCATGTTCTACTTTATACATTCTCTATTTTGTTTTATCTCTCTCCTTAGTATACAACCATTTCATCATGTTTCATTCAAGTTGGCAACATTTTGAACTGATAACATTATAGGTAATGTCTTACGACTTTTATATGTTATTTTGAGCTTATTTTAATAATTTTTTTTATGATTCATTATAATAAAATTTTTTGAGTTTATTCGTTTAAAAACATTTATTGAATAAATATTTAATAAATAATTATTCAATCAAATTCTTATTCTTAAAAGACGCTTCAGTCGATTGAAGAAGATAAATATTTATAAAACATCTTTCATTCTAACTTTAATTTTATGTGAGATTTTAACGGATTGAACAACATTTTTTTCATTTATACATGATTAAAGTAAATATTATCACTTTTTTACTGTGTTTCTTAACATGGTATTATACATTATGCTAAAAATTTGAGTGTACCTTCATCATGGCAGGTACCCATAATCGGCGACCGTCAGCATCTCGTCCAAAGACAGTGGTGAAGGGCTGAGTCCGAGTCTTATGCCACAACCACGCATGATATGTTAGGATGGTTACTAACCCAAATGGCACAAACATTAAATCCATATAATATTTTCTCCACTCCATCTTTAAACTCTCTTTCAGATAACTCCTTCTTTTTCTCTCAAGGTAATTCCTCTTTTTTTCACCTTAGTTGAATGCCACACAAGACACCTCTCTCTCGTGTGTGCGTGTGTCTTTATAATATGGATAGAAGAGAGAGATTCTTAATGCCAAGTTATATATGTAGTTATCCACATTTCTATATAATCATACACAAAGAAGTATAAACTTTACCAAACTTCTAAATTATATCAAGCATTGTCACATCTTTAAATTTTTATTATATTTTATTTTCAAAATTAGAAAAATATTTTTAAAATAGAAATTAAACATGCTCTTAATTATTTACATTAAAAATTTTATTGAACTAAAATGATAGAATAAATAATAGAATTGAGCGTTTATAGACGAAAGGTGATGGTAGCATTAAAAACAAAAATAATAAAACAACAACGAGCGAATGAGCAACAAGTCCACAACGTAAAGAAAAGGAACAGAGTTGTAATTAAATAATAACACGTAAAATAGGAAAGAAGGAAACGACGCCGCAGCGTCAACGTGGAGTAGCGTTATGATTGGGACTAGTTAAATAGTTCTTTTATTTAAATATCTACAAATTCATATTATATATTTTATTTTATATATAATTACCAATGTTATTTGATCCTTTTAATAATTCTCAATTTTATAATTCTTTTAGATTAAACGAGGGATCACTGAAGTTATACAATGGATAAAGAGAATGGTTAGCAACAATTTTTTAAAAGAATTTTAATAATTTTTATTATTTAAAATTAATTAAAAACTATAAAATAATAATAAGAATTGTTAACTGTGCCTTGAATAGGTGTAAATCTTCTGTTGTCCTTGATTTGTCCCCTAAAGGTTGCGCCTCTTTTCACTAACTGCGCCATGCAAAGTGCTATTATTGCGATTAATAAATGCAAAGTAAATGAAAAAAGTGGGCAGGCCGAAGTAAATGCTAGATACAAGTTTTTAGAAACAAATTTTCTAGGAAAAAAAATTGAGTGGCTGATTGGCGTCATTTGGGATACTCATTAAATGCAGGCTGACAGTTATTGAGTTTTTTAAGAAGGGAAATAATTATGTGTCTCTTTGTATTCATATGAAAATTTGAATGCAGGTGGGAGGCAAAATAAAGAGGGTTTAATGATGAAATAAATAGGGTAGTTGAGGGGTTTTTTGTTAAGTATATTTAAGGTACAATTATTAGGAAAACTTTCTATAAATCATTACGTAATTGATGCTAATTTATGATAAAATGGCTGATCATAATTGAGTGTCTAGGAATATGAAAAGTCTACATTAAATAAAAGTAATAAAGGCTTTTGATTAAGGTCATTAAGGCTGGCTGCAGCAATTAAGAGCGCATAAAGTAAGTGTGAAAGTGTCTTTTGGATTTCTACACATAAAATGTAAAACAAAAAAGGAATAATTACTCGAAAATGAATGGTTGACAAGTCTAAGGTTACATTAAACTTGATGATATATAAAAGGTTGGGCTCCTAGTGTGCTTAGTTAGTGTAAAAAATAAGGGGGGGGGGGTTTACTCATTATGACTAGACTTAAGTAGATATTAATAAAAAGAGAGTATATGAACGAATACTAAGGGAAAGGCAAAAGTTACACGTACAATCTATCTCTTAATGAATAATAATAATAATAATAATAATAATAAATAGATTAGGAAAAAGAATTATAATAAATGTAAGGTTCAAGCATTTCATAAAGTCAGGAAAAATCAACCTAGGATTTCGTCTTGCTTTCCTAGGATTCTTAGAAAATTTTCCTTTACATGACCATGAAGACATATATATATATATATATATATATATATATATATATATATATAAAAGAGGAAGAGTACATAAAGTATTATCACACCATTGCATAGAAGCTAGCCAATGCATGAACAAAATACAAGCAAGAGTCATAAGTAAAAGAAAGAAGAGAAAGAAAAATGAATTAATAATTAAACAACACATAATGATAACTCAACTCACAACAAAAATCAAATCAGGGTAAAAGAGACACTAGCTAGCAATAGGCAATTCACAAAAGTGGATTGAATTTGGAGATGCTACATATTACTATTGCTCATTAACTCAACCTGAATTCCTCGGGTACGAATGCCAAAGATTAAGAAAATTTCTTCAACAACAAACGTTACATATTTGTTGTTGATTTTTAATGCAGAGTCTCGGCCCTCCCACCTAAAATATGAAAAAAACTCATTAAAAGAAAATAATTGAAAAATTAATTAGTTAAATCAAATTTAAAATATATGATGATGTTACCTTTGGAATAGCTCTGCTAAGAGCATGTTGCTTATCTGATAAGATTTTTCATCAGATAGCTTCAACAATCAACCCAACCTTATCTTCCTAATTCTCTCCCTTTGAGCCTTTGACAATTGCTTATTTAGTTTAACAATCTATTTTAAACTCATGTAGGGTATGAATGCACTTTTTTTTGCCTTGGAATCTTCTTTAAACTCATGCAAGGTTGGATGCGTATTTTTCCTACAAATGTTTCCATTATTTTTTAGGCTTTGTACTTGTTGCAACCGGGTGGTCGCAACGGTACAACAAAAAATATTTTTAAGAAAAATCAGTAGAATCGCCACCAAGATTTATCAAAGAAAACTTCAGAAAAACTTAAAATTTTGATCTTTAAAACTAAAAATGGATTTGGGAGTCATTTATGTGTAGGGAAGGTGTTAACACCCTACAACGTCCGTTTAAATAACGGTTACTTTAAATTAATTGTGTAAATTTATTATAATTTTGAAAAGCATTTATTTAACCCTTAAAAAAAATAAATGTTCCTACTTTTATTTTTTAAAGAAAGAAGATTTATTTATTAAAAATGTTAAGTTATATCTTAGAAAGGAAAAAAATATTTTTAAAAATTGTTTTGACTCGACGGATATGATTCTGCTCCTATGTATCTCTAAGTGCAATGAAGAACTTACAGTCACGTAGTTCTATAAAAAATGGTTGAATTATTTTATTAATTTATAAGATTTTAAAAGAACTTGTTTTGAAATTTACCATATTTTCTTAGAAAAATAAAATAAAAATTGTTTAAATTTTTAAGGAGATAAGATAACTCAACTATACATGTTACTCCATGACGAACAATACGAAAGGTGAAAGAAGATCACACATTCATGTTGTAAATCATTGTAAAAGTATAATAATTAAGACCAAATATTTAATTTACGAAAAGTATTTTTAATATATAATTTAATTTAAAAATTTTAATATCGAAGAAATTTAAGATAGCGTAAGCTATACATAGATATCTCATGACTAATTCATTGATATCCATGTGGCAGAATATTTTGTTAAATTTAGTAAAAATATTTTCTTAAAGTTGGAAACATAATTTAAAATTTTTAAATATGAAATTAATTTTATTTAATAAAAATATTTTTTAAAAAAATTAATATATTTAAATTGATTAGTAAAGATAGATGTTTATTTGAGAGAAATTAAAATATATTTTTAACAAATTTGTATTGTGTGAAACCAATATAACGTTGGTATATAAAGGTCTCAACAATTTAAAACGTAAAAAAGTTGAGATGCTACACGATGACGTTATAAACTGCTGCATCTACATGATTTTAATTTAATTACTTAGTTAACATATTATTATTTAATAATTTAAAAATACATTTAAGATTTAATATTAAATAAGTATGTATTTATAATAATATATTTGGTTAATAAAGTGAGTGTCTAATGAATAGAATATATTTTAACTTTTAGAAAAAATAAAATAAAATAAAATAATATATATATATATATATATATATATATATATATTCAAGTGAAACTTAAAATAATGTAAGTATACATAAGTTTCAATAATTTATAACGCGTAAAGGTAGAGTTGCTACACAATGACGTTATTAACTTGTTACATTAATAAATAATTTTTTTTTAACTTAACTTATTAATAAAAGAGATATTTAATTAAATATATTTGCTTAGTTAATATAGCAGTTATTTGATTAATTAAATTTATAATATGATAGATTTATTTAAAATAAGACTTATGATAACGTAGGTATACATAAGTCTCGTCAATTTATAAAACACAACGATAAAGAAGTTATATGTCATGCTATAAGTTAATGTAAATATTTCATTTATTTACTTATTTATTATATATTATATAATTTTAAATATAACATAATTTACTAACCATAACATAAAATATAAATTTAAATAATATTACATGAAACAATCATAATGATAATAATACAAAAAAAAAGACAAGATAAATAAATAGTTAAAATGAAAAAAATAAAATAGCGTAAAAAATAAAAATTTAATTTTCATACTTAATTATATTGACTGTAGCATCATTATTAGTGTCATGATAAAAATCAATTTAAACAATAATAATAATAATAATAACAAAAACAAAAACAAATACAAAAATTAGACTGAAAATAAAAGAAGAACACATGCATTATTTTAAAACTTTTGTAAATTCAAAATCCTTCCTTTTTCTTTTACAACTTTACGTATTACAATAAAAAAAGAAATTAGTATATAAAAATAAAAGTTTATATAAGAAATAACTAAAAATGAAAATAAATTTAAGAAATAAAATTTTAATTTGAAAAGTTTGGTTTTTTATTAGAAATTAACCTGATTAATTTTAATATTTAATTTGTATATATCCTAAATGACGTGCGTTGCATCCAACGGGTCTTGTGACTTCTTCTTTCACCTTATCAGCAATAAGAAATCATGGCTTTTCATAAAGGGGAGTTTAAGGTTCCATCAAATCCAAGTAGGGAAATGAGAATTTGGCTTTTGGAAATAGAATGAGGTCGACGACAATGAGTTCGTGGGTTCACAACAGCTAACATTTGGGATTCTGACGTGGGGGAAAAATGATTCAGTGAGAGGAAGAAAGATGAGAAAGAAAAACGCATAGACAAAGAATGAGAGAGGAAGAAAAAGACGAGTGATGGCACATCA